AAAGTCTTGAATGCCACAGTGCTGGATTGTTCACGTGACCTAACATAACGCTCATTATCATAATCAATTTTTCGCATGCCATCCAACCAGGTTGCTAAAAATACAGAGCTAAATCCACCTTCGCCAATTTTTTTAATAATAATTAATCTATCAAATGAAATCCATTCAATTACCTTCGAATATGCTAAGGCTTTAAGTTGAAAGGTTCAGATAATAAAACTAAATTGAAAGGTTCAGATAATGAAATTAAAACCCAGTTTTTAGCTGCAGATGAAATAATTAAAACTTTGCCAATTATCCCGCCGAAACATTCGGATAATATGTACACTAGTAAAATTTTTAGTACACAAAAAATAGCAAACGCATGTGAAGGTACTTTATTTTTACTAACATATTACCTAAAATTAAAAATTATGTTACATTATTTTTTTTTTTTTTTTTTTTTTTAGATACTTCTTTATTTAAGCTTTATATGTCTGACAGTATTAAATATTTTGGTATGTATTAAATAAATTTAATTTGTAACATAATTTAAGTTATTTTTTGTTGAATTAAACTTTTAAAAAGTCTAATCTCATTTTTAATCAACTCTTATTTATGTAATCATTTTTATTATCAATTACAGTTTAAAACTACTTTGACTACTATTACATTCATAAACAAACAAAAAGGTTTTATTTATGAAGTGGGAGTCCATTTCTTCCTTTTATTTAATTGCAAGTTCGATTTTTTAAACTCCTATTTATTTTCGAAATACGTTCATTAATCTAAATAGATATATAGATCACTTATTTTGAAACAAATAATCTCTTATTTCTTTTGAAATAGGTATCAGTTTTTTTAAATTTGAAACCCCTATTGTTTTTTTTCGTATTTTGCAATTTAAGATATAACTTTATTCGGCTTTAATTTACTCGAATTCCGATTCGAAAAAATAACTCGATCATATGATTCGAATTAATTCAGAATTTAAACTCGCGAGTCACGAGTTTTCACAAGTCCTCTAGTAGAAATATATAAATATATTTTTTATTCATAAAATAAGGTATTATTATTTTTCTCAGTTTATATATTTTTATTTTATTATAAACAATAAAAATTAATAAAGCGTATAATTAAGTTTTAGGGCTTAATAAAATTATTTGCAATTTGACCCATTTGATGAAGCCTTATTCATGTTTTACGAATTAGTGGTCTATTAACTACAATAACACATTATCTAATTATTAGATAATGAGTTATTGTTTAATCAACTAGCGATGACAACTTAATTTAAATAAACAAAAAGTTTTTTTTAAAATACTTTATTTACGATAAATGCTAAAATTGCAATATATTAATATAAAAAAAGCTTACTTCTGTTATTATGAAGTTATATTTTAGCTCATAACTTTTATTGAATTTGTAATAATTTTAACACTTAAATAAATAATTTTTTTTTTTTAAAAAATGGCGAATTAATTTAAGTAACATCGCTGTATCAGACCATTACTGTACTTACAAACTAATGTTTAACATGTTTAACGTTCACGGCATTTAACATTTTTTGAATACCTTTTCGAAATATTTTTAACTCGCACTTACTGGTATTATCGATCATTATTTTCATGTCTTTTTGTTAACTGTAGATGGTACAAAATTATTGTACCAATGTTTTGGAGTGAACTATCAGTCTATTTCAAATTATAATACTAATAAGAAATGTCTTTAACATTGAAGCTGGAGAACGAGTTTATTGGCTTCATATTACATAAGTCTTAGCAAAGGAATCGTAAATTTGTATTGTTTCGTAGATATTAAAGCTAATATTTAATGATACGTCAGGCTTAAAAAAAAATAATAATTACCAGAGAACTTCGATGGGCATATTCACTGGTCAAAAAAAATTATATTTTTACTAAGAAATATATTGTAAAATATAGTACAAACCCTTAATTACTGAGTAATAGACAATAATTACCATATTTTAATGTATATTATCTAGTAAAAAAATACCACTTTTCTACCAGTGATTATTGTTAATAATTAGTTAATTTTATATTAAAAATAAAAATGATCAATTATATATAATTCGACGCAGTAGCCCGAATTAAAGAGCGAAGCCTTTTTAATATACTCAGAAAATTACATAAAATAAATAATATAACACTTGTATTAATACTTATTCTACACATCAGCCTTTATTGATTTGCATTTTACAATACTAAAAAATAAGACGGTTATTTTAGATATACAAATAAGTTATATTGTTTGGATAAAGCATTTCTATAAATTTTTCTTTTTCATCATGACTAAATAGATTATCATAAAGTCTTAAAGTGGTTAAGGTCGTGTTTTTACAGAGTGCTTCTGATAATGCTTTCCCTTCTTCAGAGCCGAGTAGATTATTACTAAGGTACAAGGAAGTTAAAGTGGCGTTTTCACCAAGCGCTCCTGCTAATTCTTTTCCTCCTTCAGAGCCAAGTTGATTATTACTAAGGTCTAAAGATGATAAAGTGGTGTTTTTATAAAGAGCTCTTGCTATTTCTTTTCCTCCTTCAGAGCCAAGTTGATTATTATAAAGATTTAAAGAAATCAGAGTAGTATTGATACAAAGAGCTATTGCTAATGCTTTTCCTCCTTCAGGACCAAGTTGATTATTATTAAGATCTAAAGAAGTTAAATTATTGTTTACACAAAGTGCTTCAGCTAACGCCTTTACTCCTTCAGGGCCAAGTTGATTACTATTAAGATTTAAAGAAATTAGAGAATTGTTCACGCAAAGCGCCTTTGCCAATGCTTTTACACCTTCAGGACCAAGACTATTACTATTGAGATTTAGAGAAGTTAAAGTATTGTTTATACAAAGCGACTTGGCTAATGCTTTTACACCTTCAGTACCCAAGTGATTATAATGAAGGATTAAAGAAGTTAAAGTATTGTTTTTATAAAGTGCATTCGCTAATGCTTTTCCTTCTTCAAAACCAAGTTGATTCTCTCCAAGATTTAAAGAAGTTAAAGTGTTATTTTCACAAAGTGCTTCAGCTAATGCTTTTCCTCCTTCAGAGCCAAGTTGATTATCATAAAGATTTAAAAATGTTAATGTGTTATTTTTATAAAGAACTTCTGCAAATGCTTTTCCCCCTTCAGAACCAAGATTATTTTTATCAAGGCTTAAAGAAGTCAATGTAGTGTTTTTACAAAGTGCCTCTGCTAATGCTTTAGCTTTCTCAAGTTGATTTCCAAAAAGACTTAAAGAAGTGATGGCAGTTTTTCTATAAAGAACTTCTACTAATAACTCTGCTATATTATTATAATTGTAAATTGTTAAATATTTAAGATTCTTACTTGTTCGCAAAAACATTGCCAATAATGAATATTTAATGGTATTTACGGGTACCAAACATCCTGCATGTTTAAGCCAATTTTTGATCCCATCATTCAAATAATAGTCAATAGATGTAATATAACTCGTATATTCAAATAATGGTTTTTGACCATTTGGAAATTTTATTTCAAACGGAATCAATAATGTTTGTTCTTCAGCGTTTAATGTCAAAAGACATATTCTTATAATTCTTTTATCATAGAGTTTTGGTTTTCTCCATAATATTGGTATAATGTTTTTACACCAGTAACGGTTTACAAAAAGACATGAAAATAAGCTTTTATTACATGTTTGAAGGTTATCAAATATTTCTAAAAGACATTCGTTTGGTAATGAAATCATTTTTAAAGGGAGTAACGGTAAGAATTTTAGCGTTAATACTTCCAGGTATAGGTATATTTTAAGTGTTGTGAAACGTTGCAATCATTGGCGGGAGCGATTCTCTTTCCGAAGAGTTCCTATTGTCACGGTTCCCCTCGTGACACATTTCCCGTGGGCTTAGTCTGTCACGATTTTTTTTGATTTATTATTATTATTTTTTTATTTACTTTTATTGCTTGTTTGTTAGCTACAATTGTAAGAATAATACGCAAGATATATCTGATAAATATATCTATAAAGAGTAGGGAACTCGTTATTTTTGCTGTTATCGTAGGCCCATTATCAACCAAATTGAATAACCAGTAGCGGGCGGATTGTTTGTGAGAAGCTTCCGTGAACAAATTGTTATGGAACCGAGGTCTAATTGCTTACAATTTGAGAAGGGGAAAAAGAATGTAGGTAGACTTAAGGGTATATTTGTAAGATGGAATGTAGTTGCATGTTGTAGATAGAAAAATGTATCTAAGGATGTCTTTTTCGCCTTAATAAAATCTCTCAGACTTCGATGTCTTGAATATAAGAAAGATATTAGGAATCGAATTCTCAAGTGTTGAAATTGAAAGTTTATTGAATAATTGATTTTCTTTTATTATCTTTGTTTGCTTTTAATAATAACCCTTTTTCTCATAAACGTTATACTGCGCCTTAGTAATAAACTGATACTTTTAAACTCCCGAATTACGCAATTATTACCCATAGTTTAGTTAACCACGACCCAGATTAAATTAAATCAATCATTCTCATAATTAAATACATCAATATTAATCATCTTATTAAATCAATTACCTAAGATCCGTAAATTAACTAAGGTCATTTGAAGTTGATTCTTCGGTTAGCATGACCCTCCCCCATCCCCAGCCCACCCTCAAAAACGAACAAGCCAATCACAGCATTGTGATATTGTTGTCCAATCATATCTCATCCAGTAATTGTCTTGTGATTGGCCTGTTTAATTTTTTTATTTTTTTTTGTTATCCCCCCGACGTTAACCGAAGAATCAACTTCAAATGGCCAAACGCTAAATTAATTAATTACAGCTGTTATCATAAATTTTTGGACATCTGGTGAAAAATTGACCGAATGATTGTTTGGCCGATTAGATAAGTTTGTGATTTCGGTAATGAGCGATTATGTAATAATTGTGTATACTGTATCTTTGCTAAATGACACTTAGTGACTTCGATAATGATTGACATAAATAATATAAATAATGACTATATAATGTATATATCACTATTTTTATCTTTGTTTAATGACATTTTCAAAGCATATTCGTTGGACAATCGTTGAAAAACATTTGGAGGGCGTAACAGTTCGGGCAATTGCCAGACATCTAGGTATTAGCAGGTCTTCCGTAAGTCAAATTTTCTCAAAAATTTTCGAAGATATGGATGTGTTGAAAAACTTCTAGCACTTTCAGGAAGACTATGGTTATTAAATTTGGATGATATAAAGCATTTTAAAACTTTATTGAATGAAAAACCTGATTGGTATTTATATGAATTACAATCAGAGATAGAGTTTTGGTTAGGATATAAAATTAGTTTATCAACAATTTGGAGAGTTTTACATCAGCTTGGATACATAAATAAACAAGCAAGTATATATTTTTAAATATTATTTATATACTGTAATATTATAAATTTATATTAAACTTTAATTACACATAGATTTCAAGACTTGCAAAAGAAAGGAATAAAGAAGATAAAGATAATTTTATTTTATGAATGTTTCTATATACACCAAACCAGTTAGTATTTTCTGATGAATCTGCTTATAATAGGAGAATACTATCATATCATTATAGTTAGTGTTTTTCTGGAATGCATGTTTAAAAATATTTTTTTTTTGTTAGAGGAAAATGATTTACTATTGAAGGTTTATTGTGTATTGATAGTTTTCTGGTATATAGTATTCAAGAAGGTTCTATGAATACATGTGACTATGAAAATTTTATTGAGTATATATTAGTAAGAAAATTTTAATTATATATTTAATATCGAACTATATATATACTATATATATTATATATTTAATATAGTTACCAAAAATGAATACATTTTCTAAATAATATAGTGTGCTAGTTTTAGATAATATAATTATATATAAAAGCTAATATTTGCAAGATATTGGTAATAAAAAGAATTTATATTAGAATTTTTACTTGCCTATTTACTAGATTTTAATTTCATAAGTAACTTATAATAGTTTTAATTTATTTTAGCTAAATATAGTAATTAATAATTTTTATATAAATTAAGCAAACTTTTTTTATATAAAATAAATTACCTTTAAAAAAAATAAAATAAAATAAATTAATAGCTATTTATATATATACAATATAATAATCTAGAATTTAGTAATTATTCTAAATTATATTATATATAATAATTAGTGAAATAAGATTATAACTAATAAAGACTGAGTAAAAAAAAATATGCTAATTAATTAAATAAAAGATTTTAATTAAATAAATTTTCAAATTTTACTACAATATCTTCAAAATTTATTCAGATATAATTATATATATTTTTAAATATTTAATTAATAATCTACTAGTTAATTAAAGAATAATTATAGTATAATATAATATAGTCTATAAATATACAATAAAATATATATAAATACTATATTTAGTAAATATAGTATATATATATTTAAAACTTTTTGTACAAAGTTAACAGACTAGATCAATTAATTGAAAGTTGTAGAGTTTACTAAAATATATCTAATAATAGTTGTATTATTTAAATTAATCTAGTAGTTATTAAGGGTAGAGGGTAATAAATTAAAATTATATATAAACTTAATGGTAAAATTTTTTTATATTTAATTTTATAAAA